GTGACAGCCCCGGAGCGGGGGGCTGGTGGAGGTGTCTGCACATCAGACACGGGGCAGGAGAGTCACGGGGTGCTGCAGGGCTGGCGTCGGCTCCCTGGTGCTCTTCTGCCTGGCGCTGGGGTGACGCGTCCCAGGCTGGTTCAGCGCGGACCCCCGAGACCCCCTACCCCTTGAGGCCCCCCCATCAGAAGCATGAAATCTGCCTGGTCCTGGGAGCCAAGCACCCCAAGCCATGTTTTTCAGCCCAAATTTCTCGAGCCCGGCAGGGAAACAGCACCGCCACGACCCCCCCTGTTGCGACATTTCTGTGGTGAAGATGGACAAAGCATACGCATACAATATGAATGCTGCTAATGTCGAACTTTATTCATAGATTCAGTTCCTTATATACTAATTTTAAGATTATCTCATCGGAACATGCAGTTTTCTAGTGACAGCTACAGATTATACCTGATATTTATGGTGACAGCTACTGATTATACTTGATATTTATTTTTTCATTAGTACAGGACATAACTTCCTCACATCGACATCTTCATTTGCCAATTGCATTTCTTGGCAGATCATCCAGTCCCATTTCCTTATGAGCCTTTGCTTCCATTCTTGTTCACTTCTTTCTGTACTTTTCCTCGGTCCTTGATTCTTCCATTGGGGCATCCTTTGGTCACTAACTTTGGTCAAACGAGGCCTACAGGCCTTGCTCCACAGCAGCGAACCCCACTCCCCCCTGCAAAGGGGGCATTTTGGGGAGCACCCGTGGTGTTTGGGGCTGGTGCCTGGGGAACAACTGGCTTGGAGGGCTTAATGAGGAGCAGGGGGAAGCTGGGACCCCTCCAGCCAGGAAAAAGCTTCACCTGGGGGAGCGCAAATTAGTTTGTGTGCTAATTGGGAGCAGCTGGAATGGAGCCACACACACAGCCCCCCCACCCCTGGGAGATGAGATAAAAGCACCGGGCTGGGCTGGGGGCTTGGTGCTCTCTTTTCATTGGGTTCTACCAGGTAAGGGGTGCTGGAGGTTTGCCCTCCCTGCTGTGAGGTGGCTGTTTTGGGCAGGGGTGGAGGTTGTGTCTGAGGCTGGCTACAGCCCTGCCCTGCTTCAGGAGCCTCCCTGGCTCCTGGGAGATGCTGAGCCTTGGTATAAGCCTTGCTGGGCTGGAGAAGATCCTCAGGGCTGCTGGAGGCTGGGGGGGGGGAA